CCATTGTAGGTACATAAAGGTTGAAATTATAAACTTCTTTAATAACTGGGAGATTAAAAGCTATAGAATCCTTGAAAACCCTTAGAAACACAGCTTAAATTGCAGCGGACGCCAGCTCTGGTGCTTTGCAATTAAAGTTTTACATTGTAGTTCTAGCCACAGCATACAGAAGACCTAAAAAAAGGTTATGTATCTGAACCATAACGGCAGTAGAAAATTCTTTTGATCTCAAAAGTTTTATTTAAATAATAAGTAAGCTTTGAAATTACAGTCCAATTTCTGAATGTATGTCCTCATTCCCTGAGAAACAAACATTTTAACAAAAATTGAAATTTTTAATTGGAAAACAAAAACAAAAAAGTACTTACATATGAGCGAATTTATGACAGTGGATAAATATTGCATTCCCAAAAATACCACAAGTTTCTGTTCTTGCATGTCCATTGCTAATGACTTCCCATAGAGATGAACACTTGCAGAGTTTTTGGCACAAATTAATCAAATACAGAGCACAATAATTGTCAAATGTATAGACTTAATGTTTTTCTATACTTGCAGATCTAACCTATGACTTAGGAGAATCTTTTCCTTCTTCAATCTCATTCTGCTTGATAGTGAAGAACTATATTGGCAGGAATTTGTGATCAGAAAGTGTATGACTCTTCTTTGTTTTTATACCTATGCATCTCCATTAAAATTTCCTTCCATCTGTTTCTAGCATTCTTTCTATTCTCATTAGTGAGGCTTTGTTTTACTTCTTTTTCATCGCAATGCTGGAAAAGAATGGTTTTGGCTTATAGCATCCCTTAAAATAGAAGATTGTACTGTTAGGGATTAAATTTAACTGGAGTCCTAAATAACAGGAGGTGTGATATTTTATTTTATTAAGTATTTATTACTAATGCAATAATTTATTAATTTTTTTAATTAAATCTCTACATTTTACTGAGCTTTAATTCTTTAAATATTTAAATTATTAGTCCAAAGGGGCTTTGTCCCTGAAGGACTATTGTTTTCGGTTTGCGGTTTTGAATCACTATAAATGTCCGTTTAACTTTTCAAACTGTTGCCACCAAATTTTAGAGTCCTGCATTATGTTTGAAGAAATTAAATAATGAAAAATTTGCATAAATGTATGTATATTTCTCGCATTGTGATAAAACAATGGTACATACAGCCATCGAATTTTGAATGACGTAATCCTACTGCGAATATGGGCATGTGGAAGCCCAAATTTGGAATTTGTTTTATTATCGATTTCTATATTTGTGAAAACTTTAACGAAATTTGTGAAGTAACAAAACTCAATGATTTGGAAAACGCGAGCAATGGCAACGTTGTACGGGGAGGGGGAAACCATTTTTTATCTCCAGCGTAGGGAAGATTGCGTATCCGGAAATTCTAAAGATAGGCTTCAGTTTAAAATTATTTTGCGATATTGCTTTTTGAACTGAAATTTTATGGTTTAAGTGCGAAGAACATGATATTTAAATAAATAAAGGTAACACATGCCAAAACGTTAAAAAAACGCCCTTTTGGACGTAATTTAAAATCTGAAACCTTTCAGATTTTTTTTTAACTATTTGATTTACATTATTTATTTATTTTTATTACCCTTTCCTGATGGCTGTCTGTGAAAGAAGGTTCCAGCATTTGCAATTTAAAAATTTAATCCTTACTTAGAAATGCTATATCAAATAGAAATAATGAAACAGATCGTTAATTATGAGACATCACTGCTGTAGCATGTTTTAAAAACAACTGTATTGTTTTGAAAATCTCAGAAAACTACTATGAATTATTTATTAATTAAAATAGCATATAATAAACTTGTTTGCATCTTTTGATTAAATTTGATTCAGAATTATACTCAAATAATCCGCAATGCTAAAATTGGAACTTCTTAAAAGTATTCAAGATTTCTTATATAGCAAAATGTGAAACAAATTGTTAGTTTTATAAATTATCCCTAATGTGTTATCAATTCATTTTAAAATTATTCTTTTAAGACCTGATATGACAAGATGGCATTAGAGTGGCTCGATTTTCTAAATAATCAGGTCAAAATTCACTAATTCAGTGTGAGGTAGCTGATATATAATGTTCAAAATTTATGAAAGTATATTTTACAATCGTAAATATATTTTTATATTGCATTAGCATTACCCCATTTATATTTATTTGCAGTATGAAACGTCATTTGTCCCCAATGACTGCAATCACTCCTGTCATATGCATGTATATGAATATAATTCACCATTAAATATACATACTCAATTAATATAATGGATATAATACCCAAATCACCATTGCATTCCCCCATTTATACGTAGCTGCAGTGTAAAACACTGTTCATCCCCTTTGACTGCCCCTATCATAAGCAATACATACAGGGCTTAATTTCTAAAATTAGAAGTACCGGAGCCCTATAGAAGACCGTCAGCAAAGAGGAACAAAAGTAAATAAATAAATAAAATGACTATTAAAATCATTAATAATTTTAAAATTAAATAGTTAACTATTATCAAATTAATAAGTAATTAATTCATATTTATCAAATTATTATTTAATTAAATAAAAAAATTAATTATTTATTTAAATAATTTAAGATTAAAGTAATTAAATAATTAAAGTAAAATAAAATGCAAGAAGATAAACTAAAATTTAATATGCGATTTTTATAATTATTTTATTGCAAAAAATAAAATTTTCGATATCAAATTTCTACTGAAATTGTTGTTCAGTTACATAAAAGAAGTGCCGGAGCCTTCTTATTTAGGGCTCCGGTGCGCTCCGCCTACAATTATGATTTATCCCAAAAATTAAGAAGTAGCGGAGCGAGGCTCCAGTGGGCTCCGGCACAATTTAAGCTCTGAATACATATACACTTCATGTCATTCTCTGTCTTATACAGGTATTTTAATTTACTCAGTATCAGTGTTCATTCTACTGTTGTAAAAATATTATTACAATGCATGCAATAGCAAAATCAGTATCAAAATGCCTATCTGTAGAATAAAACACTGTTTATCCCTTTTGACTGCAATAACTCCTGTCTGTGAATATTTAAGTATATACTTGTTGTAATTCTCTGTAATGTATAGATAATCAATTTTGGAATACAAGTAATACAATATATATCTGCTATTGTAAATATAACATATGTAATATCAAAATCATTGATACATTGGCCCCTTTCTATGCATCTGCAGGGTAAAATATGATTTATCTCCTTTGGCTGCAATCACCCCAGTCACCCTAGGAAAAAAAAGGGGGGACAGTTCTATATCTCTCGTTCTGCTGGGCAGATTGACAAAACTCAAATTGAGTTTTTCATGTCTCGAAAGCTCGATTTAGGATATATATTAGTTGATATATAGCGCTGTCCTTATATAGGTATTTTGACACAAAATCGGACTTTTTCTGAAATGGCATGCCATTTTTTCCTCTATATTTCGATTCTACGACTCAAATTATGGCACACTGCCAAGTTTTGTAAAAATCGCATGAGTATTTTTTTTAAAATTAGCTCTCAAAATTTTAGCTCCTCTATGTTAATTGAATTTGGTATATATTTATTTATATATCTTTTTATATTAAACTTTCTTTATTCTTCCTTTCACATTTCCAAATTTAGGTTCATTTCAAAAAAATTCACCCAATTTTTAAGATTTATTTCAAAATTTGCGATTCTAAACAATTTTTATAAATTTTTCGAAAACGTTTTGAATTATAACTTGTAAAATGTTTACCATCATTTTAAGTAGATGTACTTCTAAGCATATCTACAAAAATGAAGAATTTTTTTTATTCAAAATTTCCTAAGCTATACGTTAATTTTTTATATTGGCGCGTTTTGAAATTTGGCATATATGTTATAAGCGATAATAATGCCAAATGTGGTTTACGCACTTTGTTAAAATTATTTCAAAGTATGAATGAAGTTTTTTTTTACGCTCGTCTGCAATAAAAAAAGGGGAAGATAAAAAGGTTGCTATAAACTAAGAAGTTCGCCAAGTGAATTATTCTTGGCGCAAACTTGAAAAAAATACGCCAAGATAAATTTTTGAATTTCTCTGTAAATTTTGCACCAAATTTTACAAATTTTAATATCTAGGGATAAGTTGAGACGCAGAATCGAAACATGGAAAAAAAATTGGCATGCCATTTCAGAAAAAGTCCGATTTTGCGTCAAAATACCTATATTAGAACAACAATATACATATATATATATCTAATATATATTCTAAGTCGAGGTTCCGAGACATGAAAAACACAATTTGAATTTCGTTGATCGACCCAGTAGTACGGGAGATATAGAACTGTCCCTCCCCCCATAATATACATATTTGACATAATTCTCTGTTATATATAAGATAAAAATTTATGTGTTCATTCTACTACTGTAAATGCATTAATACAACACGTAAGTTCCACTATAGCAAACGGAGATGTATGTAACCATGGTGCAATACAAAATCAACCTTCTGGAATGAAAAGAACAGAAAATTTTTAATCCTGATTTTAGTAAATATTTCAGTATTTATACATGTACAATAAAATTCACTGCATCGCTAACAACCACAATCTTTGAACAACCATAGGTGAATGCTAAGTAAATGTTTATGTAAACCACAATACTGTGCTGTTCAAAATACCTTGTAACAAACAAACAAAAAAAAAAAAAAAAAAAACACTATCATTATTGAACCAAAAGGCCTTATATGCCAGTGAGCAATTATGTAGCTTACTGAAAAAAAATGTTATGGTTACGAATTATCTGATGACTTTTGCTGAAATGACATTCAGTTCCATACAGCATGACCTGGGACAGATATCATTTTCATAGTGTTCTGTTTTTAAACATAATTTTTTTTCATGTTCTTTTTTATTTAATAGCTGTATTTCTGTAACTAATTTTTAATGTATTGACTATTTAAGGAAATTTTTCTAAAATGCCTAAACCCTTAAAAATTAAAAACACATTTCAATTTTTTATTTCAAAAAAGATTTATCATGATTTATTTCAAAATGACATGCATTCATTTAAGAACATAAGTCAGAAAGGTACTATGTACAAAAATTAATGTAAAACATGAGATTCAATGCAATATGATCAAATATAAAACAAATTTTAAAAACTGAGAAAATTATGAAATGTATCAGATATACTAAATTAATCATGAACTACTGATGACATCTGGATAAATACTATACACATTCATGTAAATATGTAATAGTAATCTAACAACACTAAATCAGAAGAAATAGGGAAAATTTATGAATTTTAAGATTTATAAATAAGCAGAATATCCATGTATAACAATGCTATCTGAAAAATACATTAGACAAAGAAATAAGTTATTGTATTTTTTCTTTTTTTAAAATTCCAATAACAATATATGAATTATTGCATTAAAATATTCTGTTTTTTGCTTTCCTATGAATTTTTACGTTAGACTGTATCACCGGCATTTAAAATGTGCAGGCGTGCTTGTTTGACCAAGTATACCATACATAACAACTTTAGAAGCAACTACACCAAAAACAAAAGTTCCAAACACAATCATGGCACTTGCTGCACTGACTTGTATAACACTTCTCCATTTATGCAATGCTTCATCATCTCGAAATGTCAGAGCTATCAAGCAAAGACCTGGAAGGAAAGAAATCAAAATTACTGCAAATGTTTTGATCATATTCTCAGATTACCTACTCATGCATCATAAACCTTAAAGAACAATCTAGCATAGATTAATACAAAAGTAAGTAAATGAAAATCCCTATTCTCTACTGCTTACGTTCATCTTAACAGAAGAGAAATGTGAAATTGTGATATATGCATATATTTGATGAGGTTTATACTAATATCGATTACAATGTATGCAAATTTTATTATTTCTCTTTTACTAGTGAAGTCAATATTTAAATTTGTTATGATTTTCTGTATAAATATACAATGGATTCTCAATAATTTGAACTTGCAAGGAATAACAAAACTGTTTGAATTTGAGTGTTTTGATTGGTATCTGCTGTATGGAAACACTTGCTTCTTTCTTATTCTTCTATGAATTAACTGTATCTGCTATGCAGTAAGACAGACAAATGCAAGATATTCTTCGGTATGGCTGCATTCAAACATGAATCACACTCTAGATGATAAAATTTTTGCATTGTGTCATTAAATACACTCATGTCCATAAATTAAGGATAATTAGGAGTCACGCGAAAATCGAACTCTAAAATAAATATATCACCTTTAAAATCACTACACACATCTTCAAGACTCATATGCAAATTTCAGGAAGCAACCAGATGAAACCGATGGTACTTCACAATGACGAGAGTGTAAGAGAGTGATATACGAGGGTTGGAACTTTAATAGTGGCAACTATTTATTTACAAGGAATACAAAAGTGATTCACGTTACCATGTTTTACAGTCCTTCAATATAGTCGCCAGCATTGTGTACAACCCGTTTCCAACGATGTGGAAGTTGCAGAATACCTGTAGCAGCGCCTGTTTTGTTGATAGTTTGAATGGACCGGTCTACTGCCGCAAGAATATCAGGAACAGTTTGGAAGTGAGTGCCACGAAGTGGTTCCTTCATCTTAGGAATTAAGTCATAGTCATAAGGGCTTAGATCTGGGGAGTATGGTGGATGGTAAAGCACTTCCCAGCCCCCATCGCTTGAAAATATCAGTCATAGCTTGTGCTGCATGTGGCCGAGCATTGTCTTGCAAAATGAGAGGAGTGTTCTGCAGAAAGTGTCGCCGTTTTTTCCTCAAAGCTGGTCGGAGATTATGCTCCAAAAATGAGCAGTAATACTGCACAGTGACAGTCTGCTGTGGGGGAACGGTATGCGTTAGGATGACACCATCAGAGTCGTACACGAGAATCACCATAACTTTCACATTGCTGGGGTTCTGACGAAATTTCGAACGTCGTGGTGACCCGTGACGACGCCATTCGTTTGATTGGCGTTTCAGTTCTGGCTGGTATGATTGGGCCCAAGTCTCATCCAGCGTAATGATACGGCATCAAAAAGCATATCCTTCGCGCTCATAGCGCTCCAGGTGGGTTCGGGCAGCATCGTATCGTAGCCATTTCTGCATTTCAGTCAACTGATGTGGAACCCATCATGAAGCAATTTTTCTCATGGACAGGCGTTCCTTCAGAATGTGCAGCACAGTCGTATGCGCTAATCCTGTTTGTCCGGCCAGCTGACGAATTGTTTGGTGGCGATCACTGTCCATTAGTGCGGCAACAGCTTGCACGTCTGCATCGCTGACACTCGGATGATCTGGCCGCAGCATGTCTGCCACGTTTTGGCGTCCTTCATTGAATGCTTTCACCCATCTTGCTACGGTTCTGTAAGGCAATGCAGATTCCTCGCAAGCCTCTTGAAGTCCTTGATGATACTGTCGTGCTGTACGACCTCTGGCACATTCAATTTTTATCCAACATTGTTGTTCTTGTTTTCAAAACATCCTGACAACACTTACTTTAGACCGCGAGCTAATACAAGCATTCGTTCTTCGCGTCACTCCGCATGCACGTGACGTAGGCAGGACAAGTCTTTTTGCTGAGAGGTAAGGTAGGTATGTAGTTCACGTGTGGTATATGCGATATTCTTTGGTTTTGTTGCGTAGCGTTTTTTCAGCTGTGTTGCCACTATTAAAGTTCCAACCCTCGTATAAGGAATATAGGCAAAGAGGTAAAATTGTTCGCAGGCGCTTTATAAGCATTTCAGTGCAATAACTGAATAGTTATGACACAAAGGACGCATTTGGATAATTTTTTACGTGGTAGAACTATTGGCCGTCTGGAATGTGGGTGCACCCAACTGGAAGTATCAGACGAACTTCGAATTGCCCGGAGTGTCATCTCCAGGCTTTGTACAGACGCTTAGGGCAGATTGGTCTATATGCTTGTAGACCTGTCAGATGCGTTCCACTTACTGCAACTCACTGTCGCCTGCGGTTAGCCTGGAGTAGAGAGCATACATTGTGGACACCGCAACAGTGGGCTTGTGTGATGTTTTTCGACGAGTCCAGGTTTAGCTTGCAGTCTGATTCTCACCGGACTTTCATATGGAGAGCTCCAGGTACCCGTTACCACCAAGAAAACATAATTGAACAACACCGTTACGGTGGTGCAGAAGTGCTCGTTTGGGATGGAATTATTCTGGGTTCCAGAACTGACCTGCATGTTCAAATAGGAACCATAACAAGCCAAATCTATCGAGACGTCATTCTGGAACAACATGTACGTTTGTTTCTGGGCTCCATGGGCGCACAACGCCTGTCCTCACCGTGAAAACATCGTAAGCAAATGCCTTCAATCGGAGGATATCACCCGTATGGACTGGCCAGCATTCTCACCGGACTTGAATCCAGTAGAGCACGTGTGGGACATGCTTGGCCGACGAGTTGCAGCCAGTCAACCTCCTCCTCCATGTCTACCGGAACTTCGGAGAGCATTGCTTTTTGAGTGGTGTAATATCCCCCAAGATCAGATCGATAATTTGATACTCAGCATGCCTAGGCGTTGTACGGACTGTCTTGCATCGTCTGGGAGACATACAGAAAAAAATCGCTAATTTTTTTAATAATATCAAACATATAGCATCTTTTTTTGCTCTTTACCTTTTGTTTAATAAAGAAGCTTTACAATAAGTCAAATTTGTTTTGCTTCTAACTCTTCCTTTGCCTGATTTTGCATTATCCTTAATTTATGGACATGAGTGTGTTTGTTTGTTTGTTAATAACTAGTTGTTCACTTTTACTAATTCGTATGCCACATGATTTCAAAAATATTTTAGAAATAATTTCTTCATAATTGAGATTTTTGGGGATATCAGCAATTAACCAAATTTATAAATCATCCGATTTTAATTAATAAGAATTCATTGCAAATATTTTTACAGTCTGTGTTTAAAATACATACAAATGGTAAGATAATGATCAGAAATATCAGAATTGTAATTGTTTACTCTTTCCTGGAAGTGTCATACTTAATTAAATAAAAATATTTAAATTTTTCAGCAATTTTTTCCTGTGTAATACCTGAATTTAGTTTTTCGGCATTTTTCATCAATAATTTCAATTAATTTTATAAATGTCATCAAACTCATGCATAAATTATGCAGTATCATTTTTTGTACATTCAATAAAAATTTTACTTCATTATTTTTATTGCAATATTATAATTTTAAATTATTTTCTAAATTTTAAATTATTCTCTAGCAAAATTTACAAACTGCAAAAAAGTAGTTTGTCTCTGTCAAACCACATTAAGATATCTGGAGAATCATGAAAGAAAGAATTTAAATCATGTTTGAAATATCCCACATTCTTCTTTAAAATATATATTATATATACTTATTTTCATGTGACTGTGTTGCTATACATTATTTTTTTGCACACTTTAATTAGAAAGTTTGAAATAAAGTTGAATGAAAAATATTTTTCAATTTGAATGAATTTCAATAAAATTTAGAAAAGAAAAAAATGAGAATAAAAAAAAAAATTTGAGATATAGGGATTAAAGTACTAAAAAAGTAAGTTAGAAATGTAAATATATTTTAATAAATTACAATAAAATATGCATATTTTAATAAACCACTTACATATTTGAATTATAAAATGAATTTTTAAATTTTGATAAATTTTGAACATTTTGATAATAGTATAAATATTAAACAAAAGTATTACAAAAAAATAAATGTTTGAAAATTTCATTATCATGTAATATACATACCAGGAAATATATATATATTAACAGAAGCCAAGCAGCCTAATAATTCAATGACTACACCAATATTTGGAGCAAGGACAGCTAACAACACTGTAGTGGCAAACCAAATCGAGGTAACAATTACTCTTCTCTTAAATTCACCTCTTATAAATTGATCAGTTGTTAATTTAACAAATTCTGCATATAACCCATCTAATGCTCCTCTGAAAAGTGAAACATGAGAAACATTTAATGTTACGCAAAGTAAAAGTATCAAGTACAAAAAAATTTCAGAAATTAAAATATGGATCAGTAAGAATTATACATATATGTATGAGTAATATTTGCTTCCTGGCAACTGAATACACTTTTGAAAAAAGGATTTTTTTTAAATTAAACTCTCAGTTTTGAAAGTCAGACATCAATGACAGCAAGAACATAAAGGGTAAAAATCAAATAAATTATCTTTCTGTGTTTTCCAAAATTATTTCTGTTCCCACGAAACTAGAGAGTGTTGGAGAGTTTAGTCCCCCTCCCACAACATTCTCCTCACAGGATGTCATGATTTGTTGTTAACGTACAGCTGGGCAGCTTCTTTGTGAATTAGTTAGTATTCGCCAATGACATTCTTAGACTTAAGACGTGTCTTAGTATAGTCTCTGACTCGAAATCTTTAGTTTCACTCTATTTGTAATTCTGTTACAAAATTATTGTTATTTTCACTTCTTATCTTAATCAATATGAATGTTTTAGACATTACTAAAACTAAAAGGAAAAAAATCTTTAGCCCTTTGAAAAGGTTATAAATATCGAACCCAAAATAGAAATAAGGAAAATGTAGGTTATTGGATTTGCATAAATGGAAGAACTAAAAACTGCAATGATGCAACTAAGACCAAAGGAGAAATCATTTTAGAAAAAAATCATTTATGCCAATCTGACATAGCCACTTCTTTAGTAAAAGAACAGATATTTTTAGCAAAGAAGAGCAAAAGAAAAATATATTCCAGTTTCCCAAATTTACAGTGAAGAATTGGGGAGAGTATACAATCAAGGCGTTGATGCATTAACCAATATTCCACAGTTTTCAAGCATTAAAACAGCTCCATAAGACAAATAATACAAGACAAAGTGTCAAAGGATATTCTTGAGAATCTACTTTTATGGAAGATATGGAAACTCCAAATGAATTACTAGAAATGGATAATAATTTTAGCTTCTTGTTGTTCAATGATTTAAAAGATAGCCAAATCCCCCCCTCCAAGTAAGATGGAAAGAGAAGCCTTGAAAAGCGGCTAAATTGTCTTTATGGATGGACCTTTTAAAATTTGTACAAAGCTTTTCTCTCAAATTTACACTATCAGTGTTGATACTGAGAGCATCTCCAATGAGATAAATATTGTTTTAGTTACTCCCCACTAAACAAAAGCAAACTTAAGAGAGATTATTTTGTTTAATTAAAAATAGTCTTTCTGACTGGGATCCTGAAAAGATTTTGATGGATTTTGCAACTGCAGTTATAACTTCATTAGCTCTTCCCTTCCATGGAAATAAGAGGTTGGAATGTCTACTTAAATCAGTGCCTGGAAAAAGATACAAGACTTGAGAGTTGTTAACAAATATAGGTACAAAGAAGAAATTAGAACTCCCATCATCTTCACTGCATACATATATGCTGAGTATGTCGATGATGATTTGCTATCTGTTCAAGGAAGTTCACATCATAATGCAAGATTAAAAGCATTTTATGATTATTTTGTTGACTAATGGCTCGAAAATTACGTCATAATAATACAGATGTAGAATTGCAATGAAAAAATGCCCAGGACAAATAATATTGTTGAAGGATGGTAACAAAAATTAAATTCCCTAATAAGAAAATCCACCCCCCAAACTCTAGAATTGATAATATGTTTGAAAAATGAAACCAAATAATGCGGCATTTTTATTGACCTTGTAATACAAATTTAGATAAAAAAAGAAGACAAAAATTATAGTATTTTAATGCCAAATCTAAGCTTGAAAATTGTGAAGGGAAGTTAAATTATTTTCCCTACCTTTTAGTAATTTTAGTAATCAAATTTATTAAATTTCATAATCATAGTTTAAATTCTAATGTATTTTCAGAGTTTTTGAGAATATTACAGTTTTCCCCAAATACTGAATTTACCACTTTAAAATATGCATCCTCACAACAGAAGAAAAGATTGTTGTACATAGTTGCCTTAACGAAGTTTATTATAACTGAATTTGTTGAACCAGTAGTTCCTAAGTTTTTTAATATAAATAAATTTAATTTAATTGAAACCCATGTTTACAGTTTGAATTTCAAGTCACTCACAAAGCATAGTTTCTCTTAAAAAAAGCTAGATGAGGATTTAGAAAAACATTGTAAAATGAAATAATGCTAAATAAATTGATAATATTCTGAATTCGGTCCTGATAACAGAAATGTACTTCATTTTTCTATTAAAGCTGGACTACAGTTAAAATGACTGCATACAAAAATGGCTATGTTGGAAACTGAATATTTGACATGCGCATGGTTGGGTAAATAATTGTTATAATGCGGTTACCAGAGTTTGATGTACTCTGAATCTTTAGCAATTTCTACTAATCTAACACGGTTGCAATAATACATAAGACCATTTTTATTTTATTTCTAATTGTTACAGAAATATATGTATAAAGATATGTGTGTGTATGTGGGTAGGTGTGTGTGTGTGCGATGAAAATGTAGAGTGGCGATGATGCTGATGAATTTTATACAATGATGATGCAAGCATGAACTAGTTGTTTCAGTTTTTTTATTTTTGTTTGGATTGGTTCATTTGATGACAATAAAGCACTCAAGGCCTACCTGCCTACGGAGAGAAAGATCTTTGAAGAAGACTTTCTAAGGGAAATTATGAAAACACCATAGCAGACAGTCCATTCAATTGGATTGAACCCAGGTCAAACTACTAGAGTTCAGCGATTTCATTACTCGGCCACTGGACCTTTTTATTTTGGCATAATTTGTAGAGTAGCAAATGTAATGAAGCACCGCAAGACAGACTGCATCTACTGTTAAACAGTTTGAAGGAAATTTGGTTCCAAACAAAGGCAACATAGGCAAGTTCTCAGAGCACAAATTTGTTGGAGCTAGACAGCCACCTTGGTCTAACAACTGACAATTAAATAATGATATTCTGCTTTGAATTATTAATATGTTTAACTTATTTTGTGTGCCAATTATACTGATTGAATAAGGTACTAAAAGTGCTGTGGCCAGTTCAGGAGTGAATTCAAGAATATATTTCTCATAGCATTTGGTGATAAAGAAAACTATTGGGGATGACAATATTAAATAAATGAAAACGAACATGAGATGAGAAAGAAAATCTTGCTGAATTTAGGTTAACAACAGTGAAATTGCTTTACTTCTCAATACAGGGACATAGTATTAAATGAGCAGTAATAACTGCAAGAAAAACTCCTTTTAAGCATTTTATAAAAGTTTATTATCAAAATACAAGCTGCAGACTTCATAACAATTTCTCATGTTTAGATGGGAATAACTCAAGTCATTCCCTTCTAAACATGAGAAACATCTTATCATCATGCCTTACTTAACGAAATAATTTATACATGAAGAATTAGAAGACAATCCAAAAATAAATGTATCAGCACACCAGCAGAAAGACAATGATCCAGCAGTGAAACGTTTTGACTCACATAAAAAGTTATGGCTTTTTAATTCCAGACATGTAAATTAGTAATGATATATGCTACTGAAATGCTTAAATGTATAAAACTTTTAAACTCTTCTCTTACAAATACAAGTCTAGAATACAAAGCATTAGATTCATACATGTATTTGGATTGATTCCTGCACACTTTTTGTCTGAATCAACTATTATGAGACATTACCTGAACAGCTAGTTGAGAAAGCTTCCAGTTGTAGATGTAATTAATTTATGGCTCATTTTCTAACAATTTCTTTTCTAATATTTACTACGGTAGTATTCAAATATGCAATTTTAGCAATTACTGAAATGCTGACATAAGGCTTTCCAGTGCAGATTAGCTTGGAAACAGATGAAGATGAATGGTATGAAATATCTATTAAAGGTTAACTGCTTTTTAAATAATATTTTATACATCAGATTATAAGTAATGCTTTTTAAATAGGATTTATTGACAGGATTAAAAACATGCTTTTATTTTTTGAATGCAACAATCAATAATGTTAAATAACTATAGCCTACAAAAGTGTGACATAAATACTAACATTTAAGACAAAAATGGCATTCAGTACTTTTATAAAGGAATAACTTTTATTTACAGCAAAGTTAAACTTAGCATATACATATGTCAAATAAAGAATATGTAAAAAAATTAACTTTATTTTGTAATAGCACTATAATAAAGTCTCCTATTTAATTTTGTTGTTTTCCCTTTCTCTCCTAAAAATAGCCACACACATATAATAAATTATTTTTTAAAAATTAATTCTTGTCATAGGATTTTTATATAACACCTATAATACTTGTACTTACGTAACACTTCAGCCAATATAACATAAAAATTTACAAAACAAAAATTTTTCATAGTAATGAAGTAATTATTTTATTGGTTAACTGATACTACTAAAAACATTACACATAATCATCAAACAGTTAATTATTAATTAGTATTATTATTTTGAGTTTTACACAGGTAATGCTGTTTTTTTTTAAGATATGAAAATGATATTAAACTAAAATTTTATGCTATTATGGATAAAAACATGGAAACACCAAAATAAAAACATATTTCCGTGACTAATACAGTGTAAGATAACCATTGGCATTCAAAACAGCCTGCAGTCTCATTGGAATGGATAAACAGAGGTCCTGTATGCTTTGCAAGTTAACAACAGTGGTGGTTAAAAGCACTCATGCAGATTTCTCTCAAATAGCCCACAAAGGCTCAATAATATTGATATTTGGTGTCTGGAGTGGCCATGGTAGATATGAAAGTTTCCCCTCATGCTCAGAAAACCAGTCCTTCATGATGTGAACTGAGTGAACAGGAGTTCTCATCTTGAAACATGGCATTACTACTGGGAACAAAATTTGTATGATGGAATCAGCATGATCTGCCAAAATAAAGCAAAGTTACATTACTGCCAAGGTCATGTTATTGCCAAGTCACATAATACTGGACAGAAGGTGATATTGCATATAAATGATAGGTCCCTTGGTATACCGCAGTATGTTTGCCCAAACCATATTTCACTCGCAGAAGCAAATAATTATTTATCATATGCTTGGGATGGCATCTGTCAGAGGTAAACTCAACCAGAAGTCAGAAACAATATTATGCAAGACTCAACCAAATGACACTCTTCCTTTGCTTCACAGTTTAGATTTTACAACTTTGGCGCAATTTTGCCCTCTTACAGGCATTTTGATCATTGATGAGGGCTTTTGAATTGCAGTTAGCCCAAAAACCCTGCTTATGGAGCTCTCTTCATATTATTTTGGTGCTGACAGGATTTGCAAGTTTAGCAGTTACTTTTGAAGCTGTATTCCTTTTAGTTTTCATCACAATCCTTTTCAATGATCATTTGTCATGACCACTCAACACATTTTCTACTCTTGATTTAGCAGATGCGGTTTTTTTCCAGTTTTCCTGTATGAGTTAAAAATCTCAAATACTGTGTCTCTTGAAACACCAATCATTTTAGCTACCTTTGGTTATGAAAACACCCACTATACGAGACCCAATAATTTGCCCTGGTTCGAATTCAATTATCTCTTGCATGATGCACTCACAACTGCACAACCACTGTCTCGATAATAAATGACATTTGCAACACATTGAGGATTCTCTACACGTGGCATTAGTGAGCCAACACATCAGTGCCCAAACAGTTTTTATTAGAACATTTCAGTTCTAGCTTGTATTTTCGAGGTATTTCCATATTTTGTCCACTTCTTTATGTGTATATGTATAGTAAGTATATCAAGGCATACCAAACATATCAAGGTTGATATCAAACATTTAACTTACCGGCCACATAGTACTAATTGTGGATACGTAGTAATCATTTTTACAACTAATGCTCCAATTCCAATCAAAACAACTGGATCTCGAGCATCATACTGTTCCATTATATCAGGGGCTATCTTGCTACCAAATTTTATGTATCCAAAACTTCCAGCCATGCAGTAAATTACAAATAATATAGCCATTGCTAAAAATGTTGCTTTAGAGAAATCTCTAATATTTCTGTTCTTCATGCAAGCATAAACAGGAACAACAATTTCATGTGTCTGGAAACAAAAATCATAATTTAATATGAAGACAAAAAGTAATAGTTTAGAAAGTTACTAATTTTTTTTTTTAAATTTATCATGAAATATAAGCAAGGAAAAAGAAAATTTTTATTTGTTCTCTCTCCTTTATAGTTAGTTTGTTATAACAAGAGGTGTAAAAATATTCTAATCAGTAAGCTAGAAATTTATGATTTCCACCCCAGTTTACCATAAATATATGTATATAATGCATAAAAATTAGGTATATTTACTAATTTATGTAAATTGAGTAAAATTCAGAAAAATTTCAATAAGTTGTCTAGAATTAACATAATGCTCTCCAGATTTGATTATATTATTAATAAAATTATGTCACACTTAAACTTCATATGAAAATTAGTGAAAGTTACTTCAGCATACAAAACAATAGGAGACAAAAGAAATCTACATTTCAAAATAAACCAGTGTTTTGTGTTTGAAATGTGAATAAAAAAAAATTCAAAACTACTCTTTTTTGAAAGAAAAATTTCAAAACATCATTAACTAAATAATTTATGTAAGTTGCACTTCACAAGCATGATATACCAATATAAGTAATAAATCGGATGGTGGTTAACAACAATTTCCTTCAAACACCATATAGTACAAAGCATAATCCTAAAAATGTGTTGACTGCTGTACAAGATTCATAACTATAATTATTTACAGAATATTCTAACAAATGCATTAATTTTAATAAATATGTCTCTCACATATGAGGCTTGTACACAACGTAGCTAATATTTTATGCATTCCTCAATTTTAACAAAAATATGAGAGAGTGGTTGAAATGGAACCACAAACATTTGAAGCTGAAATAAAATTCATACTTTCCGTAAGTCAATTCAGACCTCTGGTTGCAGAGTAATTCTATATGTTACTAAGAAATGATTAAAAATGCTCTATCATCCTATAACGTATGTCAAAGATAGAAGATCATGCATATGCTGAAAATAAGCTGTTCTGAGACACATGCAAAATCATATACACACTGGCACATAGAAACAACATTTTATGTAAAAGCGTAAAGGCAATATTCTGGATTTATGGTGGCATTATCATATGAAAATACTGTTAGATATCAAAAATGCCAACTTCATCAGCTAAAGTTGAGCCCAGGCTTCATCAGCCAAAGTTGAACCCAGGACAAGTCCTTACATCATCACACCAAAGGTACACTCATAATATAAGAGCAAGTCAGAGATCTATTTCCTGTGCTTCGCATTTTGCTACATATCCATGCTACAAGATAATATTTATATGGTATTCAACTATACTGTGATGCAAATGTCTTAAATAGTATGTGTAAACAGGGCTGGTGGCAAAGCCGGTTTAAGTACAATGGGAGCAAATTTTGCTGTCCATACATTCATTACAGAATCTAGAGCGAGGGAATGTTAAATTTAGAGATTGCACTTAGCAAAAAAATTTTTAGAATTTAGAAAAGCATCAGGAAACAGCATGTAGGATCTGCAGAGATTGTATCAGGTGATACCATGCCTAGCACTAGCCCTTTGTGTAAATATTTGTACAGGTCCAAAAGAAAATCTATGTTTATACATTATCATGCATTTAATTGTATATTTTTTATGGTGTGCATTTGCTTATTTTTGTATTATTTCTATTGTACTTAATGTACACTTTATTTAAAGCTTTACTGTCCAACCATACCCAAGAGTTCAAAGGAGTGTTTCTGACCCCACCAACATTGTATCATTATAACAAACACAACCTGAGAACAATAATATTTTTTGTAATTTGTTGAATTAGAACCACTGGAAAAGGGCACACCAACTCTTGCAGGATGGTTTTGGTCTAGAAATATGCAAGCATGAGACAAAACCATCTGACCATTTGATACATCAAAGCTGTCTTCACCACCCATCAACTGTCCACAAATAGGAAAGACATCACAATACTTTTAAATGATGGGAAGTATGAGTATAAATGGCCAGACTGATTTCTCAACTTCAGTTTAATGCCAAAATTAATTCAATTATAGCAATATTTTACATTTTACATGACGTACTGAAACTTTTCAGGAATTTTTGACATAGCACATAAAATATAAACACACAGCAAATGAAATTTTTCTTGATAAAAATTAATTCTTATTGTGGGCTAAACACTGTTAATGTGTATTAAAACATTGGGTCTCTAAGAAAATAAAGCATCTACATAAAAATATTTATCAGTAATCTAATTTTGGATTTAGTTTCCTGAACTTTGTCACACAATTAAAAATAATAATTTACTTTTTGTTTTAAAATTTATTTTATTTAATATATCAATGCAAGTAAATTATATAATGAAATAAACAAAGATCATTCACACTACAACTATTTTATAGAATTTTATAAATATTTTTATTCTTACTTGATAAGCAAAAGAAAACACTGGTATAACAACAAACACTTGAACTGCACTGTCTGGGCTGAAAAAAGATAAAAATTCTTAGAAACTACACATACATCTTCAATCCACTGCAAAGATCATTTTATAAAAACTAGGAGGTTTTGCACTGTTTTATTGACATTAACACAAAAATATATTTCTCAAGAACTCTATGAACATAAAATCAGATAACTTATTTCTACATATAAAAATAAAATTTAAAAAAAAAAAATTCATATTATATCAGTTTAAAGGCAGGTTTTAACATTACAATTTTCAATTAAATATTTCATTTAAATTTACTTTTTAATTGTCCTACATACTTAATTTTATTTTGTATTAATTCTGTTTCTGCATTTTTCTAGTTTTCATTACTTATAACCTTCCTACCCTCTTTTTATTCCTGCAGTATATTAAAGCTGTTATATTCTTTCATTTTAATTTCTGCTCTGAATGTGACAAATTTAAGATAGTAAGATTTAGTAGAGATATTAAGTATTTGACTTAATTTGTACAATATTTATAAAAGTTTTCTTAAAAATTTGATATTTTTTAACATTAGTTTATTTTAGATGAATAAAAACTGCTTTTAAGTGTTCAGTTTATTACGCATGTGCGTTTAATGTATAACGGACAGTATAAGCTAGGCTAAAATTATCTAATTAGCTATTTCAGTTAATGTTGCAAATTGCGTTGTTCCTTAATCTTCTAATTGGATCCGGCTTATTTTTTGCAGATTGTTAGAGCAATTTTATAAAAAGTAAGCTTGAACTTTCGATTATGTCAAAAAGAGTTTCCTATTCTGGAGCTGCCAAAGGATCTACAAAGCGAAAGCATGTTTCGATGTCCATTAAACAAAAAGTGGAATTGCTGCAAAAAATGGATAAAGGCATGAAGAAAGTGACAGAGAGGTTAGTGAAAACGAAAAAAAATTTCGATTGACAAGTTAGTCGGTATTCTCGGCACAGCAATTACAGCACTTGAACAGCGGAACTTTGTACTGAACAAGAAATTATGTCTGTTTATAGAATTAAAGAGAAAGCATTAGCGCATAAAACGAAGCAACTTACATTGAAAGAAATGTTTAATAAAGTAAACAAATAAATAATAAGTTTTTTTTAAAAATTTTATTACCCTTTAGATCATAATTGCTCTTTATTTCATAAATTACGGTTTCATATTTTTAATTACATTATTTCTGCATGCCATCTTACTAGATTTAAATTGATGATCTATAATCCAGAAAAAAAACCTAATCCGGAATCGCCGAAGTCCCGACGAATCCGGATTAAAGACTTTGTACTGTACCTATCATTGGTTGCAAATTAGAGAACTGTTGAAATTTTCACAATATTCATACATTCAGTTAACTTCTTAAAAAAGTATCCATATTAAAATTATCATAAAAGCATGCTCCTTGTAGAAAAGAAAAACATAGCCCAAAGCTACTAAATTGTCTAACAACATGCATCAAGTTTTCGCCAAGAAGTTTTGTATTCTTTAGTAGTGCAGAAACTTGATCAATAGCTAGCAACTCTTAAAAGGCTAAAGAAAGTCAGTTCCATGTGTCGACTAGCTCTACTATATGTGAAGTTCATATTTTTTAATTGAAGAAAAACTCATTTTTCAACACTGTGGAGCAATTTTCATCTTAATAAAGCTGTTCAAGTGATAAAAAAATCGAATCTTTATATGTATATAAAAATCCACACTTTTGATCATATGATATTGTATCCGTAATTAAATAACACCCAACCAATATGTGTAAATTAAGGGAAAACCAGCACTTCAGGAGCTGACTGGGACACACAAATGCAATAAATGCGTATGGCTATGTAGATAAACTTTCCAAAATTGAGGAAGAAAAATGGACAGTTTTTAATCAAAAGAGGAGCTGTGTAAAATCTAATAAGTAAACTAGATTCATATATATGTAGAGTAATAGCTAAATATTTAACAAGACAATCATTTCTATATTTTAACTTTAAAAAATTGTTTTATTAATTATATTAATAAAACACATCATAAATGAACTGCCTTAAAATGAAAAAAAAAAAAAAAATATACTTACAATACTTTTATTTTACCAGGATTCCGCATCCATTTTGTATATTCATAAACTGTAAGAAAGACAGGATACAGCATTGCAATATCCCCAAGTGTACTATAAAAGATAAAAATTATTTAATACAAATAAATAATAAAAACAGTTTGAAATTTCTACATAAAACCAAAACATAAATTTTTAACATATAATAAAAATGTGAAATACTAATATTAAATAAAAATTATGCATATATTTGCATTATATATAAAAAAAAATAGAAAGATAAATTGCTCAGCATTTTCCCTTAACAATGTGCTCAAGATATGACTGTTTCCTAATTCTTGTACTAAAGTTCCACAGATCTCATTTAACACAAATTTCTGCAGATGAATATGAATTTTATAAATTCTTAAGCAGCTTGCACTTTGAAATGGACAGCATAACTTTTCCATTTGTTTCTCCCCCTCCATTTTGTAATATAAAAACTAAACATGCTCCAGTTATTATGAGTCTTCATATCTGCTGTGCACTCATATGCAGAGCTTAAATTGTGCCGGAGTCCAGCTCTGGTACTTCTTATTTTTGGGGATAAATCATAATTCTAACCAGAGCACACTGGAGCCCTAAATAAGAAAGCTCCGGCACTTTTTTTTGTAACTGAACAACAATTTCAGAAGAAATTTTATCTTGAAAATTTTATTTTTAGCCACAAAATTCTATTAAAAATCGCTTATTTAATTTTAATTTATGCCTTTACATTTTACTGAATTTTAAGTATTTAATTACTCTAATCTTTAATTATTTTAATAACTAATAATTATTTTTAATTAAATAATAATTTATCAATAATTAGTAAATGTTAGTTAATTCATATTAAACAATAGTAGATATAGTAGATATTAATTAAATAATTTTTAATTAATTTGATAAAAATTAACCATTTAATTTTTAAATTAATAATTTTAATAGTCATTTTATTTATTTGTTCACACTTGTTCCTCCTTCCTGAAAGTTTTCCATAAGGCTCTGGTACTTCTAATTTTAGAAATTAAGCCCTGCTCATATGTCCTTAACTGCTGATGACAACCATAAGTGAATAATAATTTTACGACTCCTATAAGCATTAATGTTCTTTGATTACTACCATTTAATATTTTGCAGTGAAAGTGGACTTGTTCATTCCACTAACCACAAGACATTCATACTGTCTGTTAAAAATCAGGGGTTCTCAACTGGGGAGGGGAATTCCCCCTTGGGAGGAATTTCTTAGTTTCAGAAGGGAGAATGCAGTTAACCCTTTATTTATCTATTAAGTATTTACTTTTAGTTTATGAATATAAAAACTAATTTTATTCCAGTTTTGGTATTTATCAACATCTTCTGTATTTTGTTGTTTAATTTTCAAAGTACAGTAAAAATAATATAAATAAATGTTTATATGTAGTTTTTAAGTTTCAGAAAGGAAGGGGGAGAAAGTTGTTCTAGCTATGATGAAAGGAGTAAAATGGGTTAAGAATGATTGGTCTAGATATTTAAGCGGATACTGCTTTCAAGCATGTGTCTCCATGCCTATAATCTCATGTTCAATACATTTAATATTTTCCAGTAAATGAAAAAAAAAAAAAAAAAAAAAAAAAAAAAAAAAAAAAAAAAAAAAAAAAAAAAAAAAAAAAAAAAAAAAAAAAAAAAAAACAAAAAAAAAAAAAAAAAAAAATTGAAGATTTTACAGCCAGATTAACAAGAAATGTGTTAACTCCATGTGGCTTCTCCAGAATCCTACATTAAAAGTAAAACATTAAACGGTCTGTTTTCAAAAGCTTATATGTAGAACATACAAAACTGTATACATAAGTTCACAGTGATGCTACCAATATGTTTGAAAACAAAAACATCATCACAGAAATAATTGCAATTAAAAACAAATTTGATCTGATCATAAATTCCCTTAGGAGAGAGAAAGATATTAAGCACAACACTCACTAAAAGCTCTCAGTGGTAGCAGAAATAGCCAAGAATGCTAGAAGGCAAATGAAGGGTGAAATCTTAAAGATAAATAAATAAAATAAATACTAGGAAATTTAATTTTTATTATTTACTTGACCACATATTTAAGAAGATATAAATTCTTGTAAAATTTAACACATATAGAATTTCACTCAACGTAAATTTTATATAAATTGTGGAACAGTCACATTTGCAATTAAAATTGAGCCAATTATAGTAGGCAAGAGTTAGTTCAAAGAAGCAATGTAAGCTTTTTCCACCTTAGACATTACCAGCTACATAATAAGTTTGCCTAACTGTAAATATTACATAATTTTAAGATGGATTCTACAGCATGAAGTATAAACAAAAACAGAACTTTTTGGGAAATGTTCAGAACAATATCTGTATAAAATTCAGAACAATATCTGTATAAAAGAAATTGGAACAATATCTGTATAGATCAGTCTTTCACTCTTACTTACAATGGGCTAAATTTTAAATACATGATTTAAGACAAATTTCAATCAAATAACAGTCAAACAAATTACTAAACTGAGTACTTTACTGTCAACTGGTTGAGGAAGGGGATTACTAAATGAAGAGTAAGAAGATTAATATAGGATTGAATAAATAAATATACAATCTAGAATAAGGGTCTCAAACTCTTATCATACGTAAGCCGAATGTATGATCTAAAAACAGCTAATAGGTCCAAAAAAAAAAAAAAAAAAAAAAAAATTTAACATGAGAAATTTTATTAACAAAATATATTTTAAAATTTTAAATTTTGCTTACTTAATATTTATTAAAACATACATAAACAATAATAATAACATAAAGGGAAACAGATAAAAATTATATGTAGCTTCCACCTGAAATTTAAAGTTTGGTAGCTGTAAGACATTTTTGTTGGATATACATGGTAATTCAAAGATACTGACAGTTAAATATGAAATTCTCAGATTGATATTTCTTGCAAATAATTCTTTAATCAATCATGAGATAATTTACTTTAAACAAACGAATTAGGAAAACATCCCAAGTTTTCAGAGAAAATTTACAGAACAGGACAAAAAGTTGGGAATAAACTATAACAACCTCCTCTTTTTCTCTTATTAAATATTTCTTTGACTCGTTAATAAGAATACATATGTTTACATGTAAATTATTATAAACTCCTTTATTTCTTGCTACAGCTTGACACTCAATGGTGTTTCAATTCTGATAAACTTTGTAGCCTTGAAGAGAGATTGCTACAAATTATCTTTACCTGGATTACAGATGCTCATCGGTTAATCAGATTCCTTGCTTATCAATTTTCAACTTGATTTAGTGAGTAAATCTGAACATTCTCTGAGGTTTAAATGAGATTTAAATGTGAACTGGAATTTGTTAAAAGCATCCATATTTTCACTTAAAACATCTATGTTATAGGAAAGAGAGAAGTAAATGACATGAAATTTTACCTTGCATATCTTAGAAAATCTAATCTTTGAAAATAACACATTGGTAAAATGAAGAAAATAGCCGTGATTGTTATAGTGAATCGCCGATCCAAAAACCACCACTCACAGAATCCTTTTTCAAACAGTGAAAGGAATACTGTTAAAAAAAAAAAAAAAAAAAAAAAAAAAAAAAAAAAAAAAAAAAAAAAAAAAAAAAAAAAAAAAAAAAAAAAAAAAAAAACTTCAGAAATCACGTAATTCATTTCAGCAATATCTTAAAAAATATATATATATATATATACGCTGCAATTTTTTTGTAAAGATATTAAACAACAAAATCTAGATAAGCTATTTATATTATGACTACAACAAATTTTTATTCAAGAAGAATCACCAGGTATTATACTGCCGTTGTACCTTTGATTTAATAGCAATCAAATCTATATGCTAACATGAATAACACATGAAATAGGTCATAAAAATAATAGTTAATTATTAAAAAGTATTCTAAAATTGCCCTCAGTGGTAAATTTCAGAATGATGAATGTTACATAATATACTACTAGAATTGCAGGAAAAAAAAAAAAAAAAAAAAAAAAAAAAAAAATTTAAACATAATTTTTACTGATGTTACTCATTTGCTATATGACAAGTGTATAATCTGCAGTCAAATTTCATGAATAACAGCCAAATAAAAGTTGAATATGGCTTATTTTATAAATTTGATAATGCAGATTTACATGATAAAACAGTATCATCATTAAAATTTAATAAAATAAATTCGTCCTACATAATCCTTATAGTATATTTTATCACGTCATTCTTACACAATCATACTGATCTCCAACAATCCATTAATTTAAATGTTTAATTAAATTAACATTACTAAGGATATTTGGAAAGCAGTGTTCTCATAATTATAGCTCAAGGGAAAAAAATAATTCTTATTACTTACATCTATCATACTGATCGCCAATAATTATTAAAAATGTAATGCAAATTCCATAACATGTGAGTAAAATAGAAAGCGCAGCAAACTGTTGAGCCCTTCTGCCACACAAGGAGAGTAATACATCATGGTATGTACTGTCATTATTTAAATCAGCACAATAGACCAGAACCAGCATTGTGCCTATTAAAATAGCCATCATGAGCTGAAAGAAGTGGAAAAAACTATATAAATCATGCTGTATAAAATACTAAATTTTTATAAATATTATATGCGAATTTTTATGAATATTTTTCATTTAGATCTTTTGATCAGAATTATACAGTTTATTTCAACCTCATTTTAAAAATATACAAAGCATTATAAAAATCACTATTGCAATTATAAGACTTTTGAAAAATGCTAGCGATTTAAAAATATTTTTCAAGAAAAGAACACTTGTAACAAGAATAAAATTGTTTTTATTTGATTAATGAATACTGCTAAGCATACCACAGCTACCTGCTTTTGGGAATAGATGATTTTCAGAAGGAATTCTTAAGGGAAATTAGCTCATATCTATATTACATATGGAAAAACCAACCAAAAGAAAAATTTGATACAGTCAAAAGTCGTTAATTCAGACACCCATAATCCGGACCTCAAAGCTACAAACATTCTGCGCATGCGTCGCGTTGACGCAAGCGCATAGGTATTTACGCATGCGCATAAGACCTTTACGGCTGCGAATATGCGTGAGCGCAAGCGCATAATATGTTTACGCATGGGCGTTTAATGTGTAACGGACGGTATAAGCTAGAATTAGCTAATTATCTATTTCAGTTAATGTTGCAGATTGCGCTGTTCCTTAATCTTCGAATTGGATCCGGCTTATTATTTTTTGCAGACTGTTAGAGCAATTTTATAAAAGTAAGATTTCGATTATGTCAAATAGAATTTCCGATGCTGGAGCTCCCAAAGGATCTACAAAGCGAAAGTATGTTTCGATGTCCATCAAAACCAAAAGTGGAATTGCTGCAAAAAATGGATAAAGGCATGAAGAAAGTGATAGAGAGGTTAGTGAAAACGAAAAACTTTCGATTGACGAGTTAGTCGGTATTCTCGGCACAGCAATTACAGGACTTGAACAGTGGAACTTTGTAACTGAACAAGAAATTATGTCTGTTTATATAGAATTAAAGAGAAAGTATTAGCACATAAAACAAAGCAACTTAAACAACTTACATTGAAAGAAATGTTTAATAAAGTAAACAAATAAATATTAAGCTTTTTTTTGTAACTTTTGATACCCTTTAGATCATAATTGTTATTATTTCATAAATTACGGTTTCATATTTTTAATTTTATAATTTCTGCATGCCATCTTACCAGATTTAAACTGATGATCTATAATCCGGAAAAATCGATAATCCGGAATCGCCGAAGTCCCGACGAGTCCGGATTAACGACTTTTGACTGTACCAAAATTCAGATATTTACACTTATATTACTGAAATATCATAATGAAAATAGCTGACACATTAATAAAATAATTTTTCTTTTGAATAATTTTTAAAATGCACTATGGTCACATAGGTCTTATGTGGCCTTTTATTTTTGTAACCATTAGTTATTTCAAATTACAAAAATGTTTTAAATGATGTAAATATCTATGTGCTGGCATTTTTAAATAATAAAAAAATCAGTTTTATATAAGTTGCAAAATATCAATTTTTATCTGGTTACCCAGACCCTATAATTGAGAAGTTTATTCTCATTATATAAAAAAAAAGAAGTTTGACACTCATACAACAAAAATTGACAGAATTAATTTTAAACTTTTTACTTATGTTACCTCAATGTTTAAATTGACCCCACACATACATAAATCGAGGCATCAAATGTTTGCATTTGTACATAACTAGAAATTCAATATCAATATAGGAAAAGGTTTCTGATAGTAATAGTTTAAATGAATGAAAATTACTATGCAGATTGCTGGGAAAAGCACTAAGCAATGTAAAGTTTTCCCAGAAAGAGATTATATTCACAGAACCTTTGAGAATTTATGTCCTTAGGAAACAGTGGCAGGCTTCAGTATAGCACACAGCATAGTTGGCATATATAAAAGTGAAAATATTTGTATTTAATTAATTTTTTGAATAAATAGTATGATATAGGTGATTCTAAAGGAATAAAACTCCACGAAACTATTAATAATGTAGTTTTAATAGTCTTAATTTTCATTTAAAAATTTTTAAATTACTTGCCTTAAACTCTTTTAGCAAATTACATAAAAATATTATAAATAAAAGAATATCATAGAATGGCATTAAAGGGGGCAAAATCAATCTCGAATTAATCTAATTTGTTTTTCATCAACATCTCAACAAAAGTCGAAATAGACATTAAATATCTCAGAATTTGACAAAAATTTGGAAGTCAAGACTTTGTATGTTTTATTTTTTATAATGTGTATTCAATTACCTTAAATATAGTTATAGAGGCCAGGTGACTATATAAAAATTGGATTTATATACTTCTTATAAAATTGAATTTTAAAATTTAAAAATGCAAAACATGAATATTTGCCCCTTTTAAAACATTTCTGCAACTAAAAGACTATACCTATGATAACAATTGCAAAAACAAATATATACTGTGCATATAATTTACTACCAGAGCTGCAAATTTTTAAAAAATGAGAAACACTACTGAAAATTAAAATGAGTAACTCTCACCTTTTAATAATTTTTCATACCATTGAGTGATAAAAGCATAAAAATTTTTGTACGTCCTGTAATTAATTTTTAAAAAATTGCGCAAAGAGAAAAAAATCATACACATAAAAAATAAAATTAAATAATCAGCTGTATTAAAGAACATGTATGAACATATATTCTTAGGAATTTTGCATTTGTGTAAATAATTTTACAGAAATTATATTTAAAATTGTATTAACTCTTGTATAATGTAGGTGTTTAGATGGAAAAATAAGGTTACAGGTCGAGTCCATTTAAACATTGAGGTAAATGGATATTTCGCCAATTTGGCGAGATAGTGCTATGTCGCCAGATCTAGAGATAAATATCCAAAAGTCAGGAAGCTAATTTAAAGTCCAGTCAAATGTAAATTGTTCAGACAGGAAGTTACTTAACTCGGACATGTCATTTTTGCCCAAGGTTCGTATACACGTACAGCAAAAGCGTTGGCAGTTGGACTAGAGACGCCCCGAAAATGTCCATCAACTGAAAAGTTTTCTGGAACTTTTCACTTACTATTATGCGAAATTTGTGAATCAGTTACCAAATAGCCAGTTAATCAGACTATTTGGACTAAGCTCAAGTAATCGGAATATTTTAGAATTTTAGGAACCCTACTCCCGAAAAAATAAGCAAATACGGGACTCGTAAAAACTCCTTAAAGCCCGTTAGTGGAGTGTAGCATGAAATTGCATCTGACGGTTGGAGTGCCATTTGGGAGGAGCCTTTATTTCTCTCTGCAGCTGCTTGGTGATATTACAAATAACCATGCTGCTTGCTGATTCCAAGCTGTTGTCTGGTATTGCCAACAGCCACGCTGTTATGGCTATGTTGCTACTATCCCAGAAAAGTCTAATACTGGCTTTACTATGGGTCGCGCGGAACTGCTGACCACCTCCTTTTATTTCTTTAGTTTTACATTATGTTATTTTAAGTTTAATAAATGTTCTCTTTGCTTTATAGAGTTTCGTTCTCTCGATTATTTCATTCTAGGTTCAAAAGCTACCATAAGGCTTCCGAGTAGAGGCGTATTAGTGGAATCAAGTAGGACCTTGGCGAGCAAGGTCATCGGATCTCTCTCCTATTGAGCACGTTTGGAGCATTATGGGCATGGCCCTCCAAACAGCTCGCGATGTTGACGATCTAACTCGCCAGTTCGACAGAATTTGGCACGATATCCCTCAAGAGGACATCCGCAACCTCTATCAATCGATGCCAAGCCGAATAACTGCTTGCATAAGGGCCAGAGGCGGATAAACACGTTACTGACTTTTCACTTTGTAAAGCTCTATCACTTCAATAAATCATCCAATTTTTTCAAACTGTAATCATTTATTTTTCTGTACATGTACATAACTTCTACCGATTTTCGTTCCATTCGGATAACTCCTTTTTGGTGCGTCGGTTTTTTTTTTTTTTTTTTTTTTCCTCCCCTTCCCCTAAGAGTATATATGGCCCCTGATAGATTCGATGATATTAAACTCAATAATCATGTCTTCGGTATCGGGAAAAGAGGGTGCCGTATACTTACATATATTAAACAGCAAGCAGCCAAGATTTAACCCCTTAACTGCCGCGGGCGTATATATACGCCTTGCTCAGCCGATGCGTTAACTGCCCCAGATGCGCAGCCGATGCGTTAACTTTGCGAATAATTTTAGGTGTAGCAGCGCAAAGCAAATGATAGCACTTTGGAAGGACGTATATATACGCCTAGGGCAGTTAACGCATCGGCTGAGCAAGGCGTATATATACGCCCGCGGCAGTTAAGGGGTTAACTCCTACCACGTCAGACTTCCTACCGTCATGTGCCTACTGGCTCTCCTCATGAGCTGGAAACAGCGCGCCTCGCGCGCTGCTCCAGCCATACTTGTTCGGATCGGATCGGATCCCAAAATTAAAGCCAGAAGACAAAATTTTGACATTTTATACTTTAAGAGCATGGCTTAATTTAACCCCTTAACTGCCGCGGGCGTATATATACGCCTTGCTCAGCCGATGCGTTAACTGCCCAGGCGTATATATACGTCCTTCCAAAGTGCTATCATTTGCTTTGCGCTGCTACACCTAAAATTATTCGCAAAGTTAACGCATCGGTTGCGCATCTGGGGCAGTTAACGCATCGGCTGATCAAGGCGTATATATACGCCCGCGGCAGTTAAGGGGTTAAGAGAATGAGGTGTTGGGTAATGAAAAACTGTCGGCAGCTTTTCGAAAAAGACCACGAGTCTCTGCATCAAAAACAGAAATTACTACAATTATCTTAAAGGACGCATTGCGCGACTGAAACTCAGTTCGCTCACATTTGGATGTAGAGTAAACACTTTTTTTCTTTTTCTTTGTCTGATTTAAAAGAGAAAAGCCAAATTATACAGATTCTTGCATTTAGGATAAGCACATTCTAAACCGGTTTTACAAATTGCTCCAAGTCAGCAATAAAATTTCTCAAATCGAGAATATTTCA